AGAGAGAAAAAAAGGAAACCCCATGAAAGCATGTTTGTTTTTCTAACATATATGGAGATATGAGTAATTAATATCAGTTTTCACAATACTGAGTAATTCGAATAAAAAATAAATTAAACTTTTAACCTGTCATTCACGTGACAGGTCATTGTGAATGACAACCTGTGAATGACAGGTTAAGATTTTCAGCAGAGTAAAAGAAATAAATATATTGCATCAAATCTGTTTTGTGGATTGTTTTTCCTTTCTTTCAATTTTGTTTTGTACTTTTTACAGCATTTATTTTTGTCTTTTTTTTCTAGAATTATTACCCTTCAGATGTGATGAAGTTGGAGTAGCTCTGTATTGTTTTTTTTTTTTCTAAAATATTTTATTCCTCCTTGTTCTTGTTGAAACATGATGTTTGTTTTTATTCTCTCTGGTTTTGGATACTGCTCAGCTGGAAATTTTTTTGCTTTTAGTTTTTTTTTTTTTTTTTTTTACTTTGGGACAGCTGCTGCAATGCGTAATTGTGTCAATAAGACTGAGAGACACTGATTAGCATCTCAGAAGCTCAAATAAAATCTGAACACCTACCAAAAATCCCAGAGGAGTTAAAAATTAAGAGGATTAGCTGAGGTTGTCAACACCCGATGCTGTCATCCAGGACATGTTACTGTGAAATATCGTCACCGCTGCCTGTAAACTGAGCTGTTAGCATACCATGTTAACGATAATGGTTGTCTGTCAGAGTTCTCTCAGATCCTTGGATGAAATTAGTTTATTTTTTTTCTCAGTGTCTTTCCATGAACTTTTACTCGTTTCGTAAAAGCTCATAAACTCACAAAAGTGTTTATCAGTCAGCAATGATTACATTTTTTTTCTCCCCAAACCTCATAGGATTTCCTATTACAGTTTTATATAATTTATTTTAAAATAATGGCAGTACTTTCGATACCACCTAACTAATTTGGTTGCTTTTTCTGTCTGACTCACTTCTTATGTCAGCCATTTCTTTTACGTCCCTCAAGTGTCCAAGAATGCAAATGACTTCACTGCATTTCTTCTATAAGTAGTTCAAGGCCATTTACCAGACAGTGACTCAACTGAAGAGCAAATCACAAAGAGTTTTAGTTGCCCTCAAACACATAGCCACGTTTACAGCCTTCTCAGTTACAGTGGATGTGGAGCAGGAGCTTTGTTGTGCATTGCATTGAGCTGACACAATCTCAGTGAGCAACCTCAAAGAAAAGCTGAGGCTACTACTGCTGCTTGGACTTTTTTCCATCTGTCGTTTTCCATCATGACGAACCAAGCGTTCTGAAATAAAACACTGAATCAGAGTCTAAAGATGTCATATGTAATGATTGGAACCAGAAAGGTGATAAAAGAAAATTCAACAAATGCCTTTTGTCTGTTAAACTCCATTGCTCCTTCTCTCAGTTGCTTCTCCAATCAGTTGATTTTCATCAAGAGAAAATATGGTTTCCTTCTTTCTAGGCTGGGTGTTGGAAAGCAGCGCAAAGGCCAGCCTGAAGCCAGTGTGTGTGTGAAAATATAGCTTGCTTTGGTAAGACGATCCTTTCCATTTAATGACGACATGAGACCACGAGGACACATCAACTCCAGAAGCGCAACGACCGTGCTCAAGATGCATGAAATTATACCAGGCTCCCATTGACCTTTGTTCGGAAAAAAAGGGTCACATTCGTCACCCTTATGAGTCAATAAAAAGTCACAACTACCTCACAAGTGAATTTAGTCTAATAATATGCCAATAGTTGCCTGGTAGATTTACAGGGCAAAACAAGAACAGGTGTATGGAAATCAGTGTTACACAACGGCACAACACAGTTTTAGCAGTTTGTGTCACTCCTTCTTCTCCTCCTGCTTAGAACCAAGACGTTTCAATAAACGTATCGTTTCACAACAGAAAGCTGGTTCATCCTGTACTATATTAAATTATACAAATAATAATAAATTAATCAGCCTTGCATAGCTCACCATTTATTAAAGGACCTTATTAATTGTCTGACCTTTTCTAATAAAGGATAAATTATATAATAGTTCTCATCCTAAGGATCGGGGAACATTACAATGAGCTCCTAATTGAATCAAAGTACAAATCAAAGTCATTCAAACTGACACATTCATTAACATGCATTTCCTGAGTATAAATATGAACAATAAACTCAACTGACATAAATATAAGGACATAAAACAAACTACTTCTGATTATAAGAATGAAATAGGGACTGAAATAATGAAGGAACAATCAGCAATCGATTATTAGTGAAGACCAAATGATCATTCAGAAGATTTTACTGAAGGCTCATGAACATATCTCTAGTTGTATCTGATCACTGTCTTATCTAATCAGAAGGGGCAGCAGAAAATTACAGTCTATATCTGCAAACCTGGGCATGATAGACAAAAACACTTGCAGCTGCAATTGCAATGAAAGAAGTATTGACTTTTAGAGACAATGATACACCACACTATTCCTCCTTTTATTTGCAAAAAAGAAAAAGAAAACTTGAAAATGAATAACCACTTTATTCTACTTCACATTTTTTACTACTATTTATTACTGAAACATGACAAACTATAAGTTCAAGAAGTATTAATGTATATGCAAGGCTCTATATGAGCGACTACCTTATTTTTTAAAACTTTAATCGTGTTCTCTCTCTCTCTCTCTCTCTCTCTCTCTCTGCAGCCATAACTGAGTCTGGTTCTGTTTATAATTGATCAGAAAATTCATCAGCCAAAGTAGGCCATCCCAGAAGCTGTCTGGAAGTGCACGTATCAGATTTTAAATGTTCGGGATCAGCACATGCTCACAATATCAGGTAACTAACTGTGTACTTGCGGGGGACAGCATCTAAAAATAACCCCACACCCCGAGATCACCGGCTCTGCCCGAGCCTTCGCTGAAGTCCTACATCATAGGTCTATATCCTCTACGGCACGGCCATGAAAAGGGTACGTACTGTTTGTTTGGCTGGAAATCCCCCCAGCAGATGAGACAAGAGTTTTAATTATAATAGTTTTTTTTATCAGCTTCAGCTGTGGGGTGGCTCATCGTTTGATTGTGGCTTTCTGGCTGAAACAAGCACTCTGCTGCTGCATGATTCACATTTTATTGAGCATCAGTTTTCATCTCCTCAATTGAACTGGAATTATAATGCCGTCAGTTTTTCCTGTTTTGTAATTTGTAAAAAAAAAAAAAAAAATTAGACACGGTTCGAAGTTTGTAACATCAGTTTGTTGGGGTTTTCATTTTTCATCCTGAAACTAGCTCACACTTTAATGGGAGGTCTGTTCAGAATCAGATAGAGAATAACAATTTTTATTATTTGGCAGCATATATCAAGCTCTTTCTGAAGTTTAAAAAAATCAACCCTACCAGACAGTCTGATCTAAATTAAATAAAAAAATAATAATCCAACAGAAATTCTTGTTGTTAGGCAAATATAAATGCTCAAGCATGAAGGTTGTTCATCCCTCTTTGCTCTCAGCATGACAAGTAGTAAATAATATTAATTTTTTGAGATACGTCTTGCATTTTGGACAAGTTTGCGAATATTAGAATGGCCAAATGTTTTCTAATTTCAGTCTGAAATGCTTTCATATCTGCAGTTTGTACTCAGCTGTTGAGGTGTGTTTTTCTCAGCATAAACATCTGAAGCTGCAGCACTCAGTCAGGTGTCCTTTATGAGGCTGAAATGTGACAAATGCAGGTCTGGAGTGAAGTTGAGCTGGTATTTTTCCAGTTACTCTGCCGCCAGCTTCCATCTTATATGTCAGAGTGAATGTTTTGAAACCACTGACCCCACCGATGCTTCACATGTGACCCGCTAAAAAAAAACAGTTTCACACTTCATAAAATGTAATTTAAAAGCAAGATGAGGAGACTGACAAGACATTTAAACCCCCTGTAGCTTCAAGGACTCTCTGTGTCTGTGTTCATTTTTACATTGACCATCAAGAAAACAGGGGAAATAGTTTTCTTGATGTTAAAACCCCGGGGGGGGGGGGGGGGTGCATTTCATAATTAGTTTGGCAACAAGTCAGTGGGACCACTGACATCAGCATGCCAGAGAGGGAGAGAGTAAGTCAGATGACTTACTCTTTGTGGCTGAAACAAGCACTCTGCTGCTGCATGATTCACATTTTATTGAGCGTCAGTTTTCATCCCCTCAATTAAACTGGAATTATAATGCCGTCAGTTTTTCCTGTTTTGTAATCACGATGTATGACAGTAAGGAGGAATATTTGACCTATTTAAGATGAATTTTAGGATTTTCACAAACTTGATAAAGTTTTATTGGGATTTTTGGTGAGAGACCAACACAAAGCTTAGCATAATTTAAAAAAAAATAGTTTGAGGGGAAATGAAACTGCTCCATCTTCTTTGCAGATGAATCAAACTCAGTCTGTGAAAAAAAGCAATAAAAACAGGTTCTCAATTGGATTTGGTCTGAACTTTGACTGGACTTTTAACAAATGAACAGCCTTTCAGCTAAACCTTACTATTGTTGCTCTGTCTGCATGTTTTGATATCTTCACACAGTACCGATAGAAGCCTCTCACAAGTTTTCTTTCACCTTTCCTGTGTATCTATCTCAATTCATCTCCCAACAACTCTGACCAGGTTAACTCTCCCTACAGAAATAAAATCATGGCATTTATTTCAAACCTATCATCACAGCCCATCATCTCTAAAGCTGCAGATGGTGGGGCACAGGCAGCCCCCCTTGCCCGAACCCCTCACCCTCCTCTGCTTGTGTGCTGCTGCACAGGGTTTACACAGCCTCTCACCCAGTGACAGCTGTGATGAAGCCCAACCACACCCACCACCACCACCACTTGTATTTAAATATTTTATATTGAAAAGCACTTTTTTTTCCATTTCATTCAAATGTCTCATAATTTTAGTTAAAATGTGAATAAATGCAATGCCTTTTTTTTTTCTTAAAAAAAAGAAGGAAAAATAAAGGGAGCCTAACCCCAGTCTATTTTTAAGACATTTTCAGGTGGTTTATTATTCACAGATGACCAACGAGTTCTAATGATGATTGAATTTGTTTCTTTTCAGGCACTGAATCCCAGAATCAAAAGAGGGAATAGCAGAAAGAGACATCAGTAATTCATCCCTGGACACAGAGCCTGGTCCTAGAAATTGTGGAGTTCCAGTTTGACTGCTTGGGCCAGTGAATATCCCCAAGTCCTGATGGACCCCTTGCAACTTTCCACAAATGACCCTGAGTGGTCTGCAGAACCATTCACAGACAATCAAACTGGAGCACAGGTGCATGAACCAAACACAGAGACTCTACCTGTGCTGTCCATCCCAGATGAAAATGACACAATAAACATTTCCACCGACAAGAAACTACCTGACAGTGATAGTTTAAGCTATTCATCTTGCAGCATGTCTCTTTGCTTGGAGTCTTCACAAAAGTCTGCCTTCATTGGACCTTGTTGTATGGATCCATTGGAACCAGAAAGTGAAGCGATACCTCCTTTGCCTGATCCCTGCAGTGACTCTATTCCAGCCCTGTCCAGTACAACAGAGCTGTGTGTAGAACCAGAAACATCTCCCATGTGCTGCCTGAAGAACAAACTTAGTCCGACTGAATCCGAGAATTTAGACAGTGTTGAGGTTCCAGCACCTCTGTCAGATCTTTATATTTTTGAAAGCGACATGCGGGATTTCATCCTTACCAACACAACAAATCCTCATAGGACCACGCATCGCGAATACCAGTCAACATTGCAGTTGGGCGTCGGAAAGGCAGACCAAGACAGCGATGCGCATGTCCCAATGTGTTATTTAGAAGGCATTAAGACACAGTGTCAAAGTGGCTTTACAGAGGAACAAGTCTCAGAGAACAACATGTCAGAGGCGAGCCAGTGTGATGAGTTACAAGCACCTGCTGTGGATGCCTGGGAGGTGGACTGGGTGTCGGAAAGTGATGTGAGATTTGTGAAAGCAGAGGTCACGGCTTTGACCCTGCAAAGGCAGCACAGCGTCAGCCCCGCCGAGCTCTGGATGGACGCGTGCCAGTATCTGACAGGTGAGGATGCAGAAGACAAGGAGGTTGTGAATCATCAAGCGCTAAGCAACTCCTTACGAGGGTCAGATTACAGTCCTGGTGACAACAGGAGGGTTGGCTGGTCACCAGTGGAGAGGTGGTCGTCAGTAGACAGCTGGGCCAGTGCGCTCTCAGACTGGACTGGGGTCATTGAGGATCCGCCAGAAGAAATCACGGCCGCTTTTGCAGAAATAGGGGCTGAGATCGACGCTTTGACACAAGCGCTGCAGGAGGTGACCACTCACTTAGAGCCGGAGACTCTGCGAGACGATCTACGGCCGACAGAGGCGGAGGAAAGGCGGCAAGCTATGGGTGTGCAAGATCAGCCACTAAAGACCCCAGATATCCCAGAGAGTCTCATCCCTTCTGAACAAAGCTGTCTTTCTTTGTGCCTTGACGCTTCAAGACCTGAACTTTATGACAGAGGAGCCTCCCAGAGAGTTGAACCTCTGCGTACATGTGGAGGAGAACTAGAGGCAGAGGAGCTCCTGAGCAGCCAGGCAGAATCCTCCTCGTGCTCCGCTCTGCAAAACACACCGGCTGGATTGTTCTCTGTTGGAGCAGACTCAGATGCTGGAATGATTGAAGTCACGCTCAATGCTGGAACTGTGTCTTTGGGTTGTTTGGACCTCCCTTGGCTTGACAGATGTTCCAAGACCTTCGAACAAGATTTATTTTCAAGTGAAGAAAACCGTCCAATCGAGCTGAAAATAACAGAAGACGTGGATTTGAACACTCATAGAGACCTGGCGCTCCAGGAGGTAAGATATATTTTTAAATTTGTGGCATTACATGAGACAGACTTGTGCTCGGTTTGGTAAGAAAAGCTGTAAGGGTTGATCTGTGTCTGTTGGTCACACTTTCATGCATTCAGAGCATTGCTGACCTGTGTGAAAATGTGTTGGAGATGCTGGAAAGATTCAACCTTTACACCAGAGCAAACAGCAAATGGCTTTACATTGCTGGCCAATGAACAAACTAGTCGCACATTTTGGAAACAAAGCAAGAATGTTAAGAGACATTCCTGCCCATGTCCTTGTGATTGCTGCCATACCTTGAGCCAGCCAGTCACGTATTCACCCGCCACACACGAGGCTGAAGCCACCTGGGATTTGAACTTTTATCCTGCATTGTTTGGATTAACACTTTTGGCTTCTATCTCAAAAACCCAGCAGTCGAGGAGCGCTGCAGGATCAGCGGAGCCTGAGAAGAAGACCTCAGACGGATAGAAATGGCATCTAATAATAGCTGACAGTTCATTGATAATAGCCCACATCTGCGGTGTGTCAGGGTAGAGGGGTGAGAGGAGAGCACAGCTGAGGACTGAAACACGACTCTGCCCAGTTCCAGCTGTCCCTTACACCCTTAAACGCACTCGTTCGAACCACGTCTCAGTCAAAAAACACAAGATCCGGAGGCTCAGAGGTCCTCGGGAGGAGAAGGCTGGTTTTCATCCACTCGGAGCAAACCAGCAAGTCTAGGAGACGGCTGTGCAGCAGAGGGCATGAGTTGAACATCGGGCGGCACTTGGAAGAAACAAGGTTTAGTAAAGTTTTACTTTGTGGCTCTGTTGGAAGGTGAGTGTTTACCAGGAAACTCATTCTGGAAACAGGCAACTTAAGAAGCCGTCGCTGTGTTTTGTTTTCATTTACATGTGATAGACATAGCTGCATGCAAAGTATTGATACCCCTTGAACTTTGTAATGTGTTTTTTTCCGCAACTTTATTGTATTCTTCTGGTATTTTATGTGCAAACCAACACAAAGAATTGCAAAATTACAAAAATGAAGTTATACATTTTTTTTTTTTCAAAATGTTTTACAAACAAATGTCTGAAAAGGTGTGGGTGAATTTGTGTCCAGCTGTCTTTGAGCCAAGTCTTGTCTGGAATCCTCAATTGGATTTAGGTCCAGACTTGGACTGGACCATTCTAACACATAATCTGAACCATTCCACTGTAGCTGTGGTTGTATATTTAGAGTTGTTGTCCTGTTGAAAAATGAACCTCTCCCTTCGTATGAAGTCTTTTCCAGCCTCTAACAGATTTTCTTCCAGATTTACTCCGTGCTAACCATCAATCTAAAGAAAAACATCCCACTGCAAAATGTTATCATGACCTGAGTTCACTGGTATATTGAGGGTTATAATCAGCATTAGTATTCTGCTATGTATTGTGTTTTTGTTTTGCTTTTTCAAATAGGCTATAAAATGTCTGACGATACATGGATGGTTACAGATCCGGAAAAAAACAAAAAAGCAAGATTGTGAACTCTACAACCAAAACTAATTTTATAAAATGATTCCCTCAACTGAGCTTTAGATCTCCGCAGCTCCTCCAGAGTTATCATCTGCTTCTTGGCTGCCATTCTGATTAATGCTCTACTTGTGTGGCCTGTGAATTGGACGCACTGGAGTGAAGAGGGATGAATATTTATGCTTGTCAGAATTTTTTATTTTTGAAAAGCATGCATGATTTTTCATGTCTTCATATTTTTATCAAAATTATTACTATTACTAAAAGACTTTTATAAAATAAAGACAGCAATAAGAAGTTTGTAACACGACAAAATATTTCATTCGATTTGAATAATTTTGCGAGGCAGTGTACGGACAAATAAATGGCAATGCATTGATTTGTTGAATTTTTTTTATAAACTGAGATGATTTTTCTTGTCCTTCTTCTTGTCTATTTTATCATCAGGTTTTTGGAGATGTTCTGTGCAAGGGGTCTGTGACTGAGGAGCAGATTACAGGAGACAAGGGTCAAACAGATCTCAGTATCTTCTCTGCACACGAACCAGAGGCAGACATACCCACAAATGTCTCGTTTAACACTTTTCTAGACCCGGTTGGAGGAAGCCAGGTGGAGTCAGGTAGTCCTGAGCTTATTATGTGCTTAGCTCCCCTCAGTGGTAACTCTGCCCTCGACTGTCGGACAAGCAGCAGCTTGGAAGGAAGTCAAAGTTGCACAGAAACCTACCTGAGTGACAGCATCCGTTGTGGTCATGTGCGAGACTGCACACCCTTTCCGACCCTGGGTGGAACTACCGACAAACAATTTCTGGAAGGTCACGAGGAGCTAATTCATACAAAGCAGAATACAACAAACACTGATGAGAAATTCTCTCCCGATGAACTACAGGATCTGCAAGTTGAAGACACCGTGTGGCCTTTCCTTTCTGCGCCCGACGAGATCAGGGATTTCAGCACAGATCTAGAGAGGTTCACCGTTTTTCCCGGAGATTGTCTGTTCATATCAGAGAAGGATCATGTTGCGTGCATCACTTTAAACTTAAACGATCCATTTATCCCCTGGATCTCAGAACCTGTCTTCACAGCTGCTGAATCTGAGCAAACTCAGCTCAAAATGCCTCATAAAACCTCAAAGAACCCCTCAGACAGCAAAACGCGCTCCAAAAAGGACAAATCATCTGGTCATCATCATGGAACACAGGCTGCCAAAAAACCAGAGAGTACATCGCAGCACGTTTCCAAGCAGCAAGAAAGCCACCTAGCAACTGGGGAAAATCATGTTATTGAGAACATCGAAGCTGGGCTCGAAGCCAAGGAAGATAAACTTGTAATGGAGACCAGTGTGGGAACTGAGAAGGGCACGGGCAAGCCACATGGCAAGAAGAAAAAGAAACACGGTCATAAAACATCGGCTAAGCATGAAACAGAGGCATCAGTTGATGCGGAGCATGGGGCAAAACCAAAATCTGCAAAAGGAAAGGTGGACATGTTCGAGGGGATTAAAGCTGGGAAAGTTCAGCGGGATGAAAATCAGTCGGTTGTTGTTGAAGCAAAAACCCAGCAGCCAGAAGATAAGGCGCCTCAGAAAGCTCCCCATCTCTCTGGTCTTCAAGAGCTCACGAATGACGATGTTATTAAAAAGAGACGCGTGTCAGGGGATAAGTTTGGCAAGATTCTCAGTGTTTTGGAGTTCAAGCTGTCAAAGACTGACACTTCGTTAAAAGCAAAAGGGGAAGAGACGCAGGCAGAAATCACAGCTGTTCAGAAGAAAGCACATGGCGAGGGGGTCAAACAGAAGATCCCTCCAAAGGAAGGTGAGGGCCCTCATCAAGCACCGCGAAACAGAAGCTGTGTATTTCTGGGACAGGCTCTTCTATTTCGTTCTCATGTTGTTCTGATGTGTGCAGATCCGAAAGTGGTAGAGCCCATCCAGGTAGAGTCGGTGAGCGGAGACCCTCAGAGTATGTGTCTTTGGTGTCAGTTTGCTGGAGTGCACTCAGACTACACCGTGACCTGGAGCAGAGACGGCGCACCGCTGGCTCAGATTAACAGAAGGTATTTACTGTCATTGCTTTACATGGCTAAATTACCGAACCGGAGCTTCTTTTTTTTTTTTCCCCAGAACACAATTTAACACAAATCAGTCTGTCTCAGTGCCTTAAAGGTTTTGTCAGAGCGTCTCTTTGGATTCAGGTCTCCGGACCATTCAAACTGACGACAGTTTGAATGGCTGTGGCTGTATGTTTAGAGGTTGTTGACCTGCTGGAAGGTCAACCTGCACCGTTGACTCAACTTTTTTCAGCCTCTAACGAGGTTTCCTTTCAGTGTTGTTCTGCATTTAGCTTCATCCGCCTTCACATATACTTAGACCAGCTTCCCTGTCCCTGCTAAACAAAACCAATCCCATAGCATGACTTTAACAACACCGTGTTTCACTATAGCACCCTGTGTCATATG